CCTAATTCCCTCTGTTGTTGTTGTTGTTATGTGCCATCGAGTCAGACCTGACTCATAGCAACCCCTCCTTGGGTTTCCGAGGCAGTATCACTATGGAAATAGATTGCCCCATCTTCCTTCTGAGGAGTGGCTGGTGGGTTTGAACTGCCAGCCTTCTGGTTAGCAGTCAAGTGTCTTAGGCACTATGCTACCAGAGCTCCCAATTCCCTCTGAGTGATGTCTTATAAAAAAGGAGAATAGACATGAACCAGAGTCACACAGGGGAAAACACCACATGAAGATACATCTATAAGACAAAAAAGGTCAAGAGATGCCTGTGGTTACTAGAAACTGGAAGAGACAAGGAAGGATCTTTCTCGAGAGCCTTCAGAGAAATCATGGCCCTGCCAACACCATGATTTCAGACTTCTGGCTTTCAGACCTATGAAGAAGTTGTAAATGTCAGTTCTTTTAAGCCACCCACTTGGTGATACTTTGTTATGGCAACCCTAGGGAATGAAGACAGCTCTCATTTGCCAAGGGAAATAACTGAGTCTTTTTTTCTGGGACAATTTTGGAAGATCTGGGATAGCTCTGAGGTGTCTCAAAGAAACAATAGCCAGTGTCTGGCTCATTCCTGCTTTACAAGGGTGTGGCGTTGGGGTTTGGCTTCCTGGAGAAGCTGGGTGCCTCCTGAAATGGAATCTTCTGCCAGGAGAAGGACAGGAGACATGAGAGCCCCATGGATGGACTTGAGGTGGAGAGAGCAAGCATACAGTCCCAGGATGAGCCAGGATCGCCAGAGGTCTTCAACAGAACAGCTGGGGAAATTGAAACGTATGGGCGTGCTATATGTGTTAAGTCTTCTTGCTCACTGTCTCAGCGGGTGAGTGTGCCACTGTGCTGATTTGTCTGCATGTGTGTGACCGTGCCTGTGGTCAGCATTCTGTGAAACCCTGGCAGACTTCAGACTGGGCCCCACAGCAACATGCGGGCATCTTAGGGCATCCCTGGTTAGCCTCACACATACAACACAAGAAGAAAGAGTGTAGCTTGGAGATGCAAGAAGTGACCACACCACAGGTATCCAGTAGGCCCCTCTCACCCAGTCAGCCACCACCCCAAATTGTTGTTGTTGTTGTTATGTGCCATCAAGTCGAACCCGACTCATAGTGACCGCTCCTTGGGTTTCCAAGGCAGTATCACTACGGAAGTAGATTGCCCCATCTTCCTTCCGAGGAGTGGCTGGTGGATTTGAACTGCCAGCCTTCTGGTTAGCAGTCAAGTGCCTTAGCCACTATGCTACCAGAGCTCCCATTTTAGTCACTTGTTATCAGGTAGAGAGTAAGGGCAGCTCAGAATGAACCCATGGCCACTCCTTGAAATGAACCTTAATAAAACCAGAGGGTTTGTTTTCTAAATGTTTTTAGGTGCACCCTGAGCAAGTTAGAGTGTGGGTTAGGGGTGGGGCAGGGCTATGGGGGTGGGACCTCTAAGGAGGTGCTGATTGTCTACCCAAGGCCCTAGGGAGGAGAGCAGTGGAACTCTGCACCCTCTCTCTCCCCTGGCTGCTAGGGGGAATGTACGGTTGTGCAAACACACCGTCTTCTGATGACGAAGCCTACATATTCACGGCTTGTTTTCTTGGCTTCTAATGCAGATGGGGGAGTTCTGGTGGTATAGTGCCTAAGGCATTTGACTGCTAACCCAAAGGCTGGTGGTTCAAACCCACCAGCCGCTCCTCGGAAGGAAGATTGGGCAATCTACTTTTGTAGAGATACAGGCTAGGAAACCCAAGGAGGGGTTGCTATGAGTTGAATCAACTCTATGGCAGTGAGTTTGGTTTTGTTTTTTAATGAAGATAGGTTGGGCCAAAGACCAAGCATAAAAGGAAAATTGCTACTGGTTTTGAGATTTCCCAGTGGCCCTTATGGTCAGAAATTACTTGGGAGGCTTTAGGTATGTTGTGGGCCAAGAAGAGAAGATGTTCAAGTAATGTTTATGGAAAAGGCAGCTTCTCAAACCTTAATGACAACTCTCAAAAGGTAACACCAGTCCCTCTCATACACTCCTGGTGGGAATGGGCATCGCTCCTGCAACTACGTGGGAATGTCATGTGGTTATATCCAGTAAAATTTAAATGATGCAGAGGTTTTGTTCCAGAAATTCTACACTTGTGAAACTATACCACAGAAACGAAAGCACAAGAGGCAAGTATGTATAAGGATATTTACTGTTTGCAGTGGCAAAAACTGAAAACAATTTGAAAGTTCATCAACAAAGTAATGCTTAAACAATGGCAGACCTGTACTATGCAATATTATGCAGTAATTAAAAAGTAAGATTAGTTACCTATTGACCTGGAGAGAGGTTCATGATACAGAGTTAAGGCAGAGAAAAAAAATTGTGAGAATAAGTATAATATGTGCAGTTATAGCATTAAAAAAAAAAAAAAAAGAGTAACCAAAGGAAAAACCTTCGCCCATGTGTCTTAGAACAATATAGGTTTAGTGGCTACCCTCAGGCTGGAAGGAGGGAGTGGGGCGGGGGAACGCAGAAGGGGAGACAAGAAAGCAAAAGACAAGAAAATGAAAGACAAAAGCCTAGAATAAAGTTAATTGAAAATTTAAAATAGGAGATTTCATCTATATTATTACTGCAAACATGCACATTTGTGTATGCAAACGGATGCAAAGTAGAGGGCTGTGGGGCACATGAAAATACTGCCTTAGCTAGAAGACAGGATAATGAACACTTTTGTTTTGGATTTCTGTTGTAATTTTAATGGCACTTTTACAATACACTTATATTTCAAAAAGTCAACAATCATGGATACAAGGAAGTGATGGCTGGTGAAAATCATGCCCACTTTAAAATGACTGCATAAAGAATAATTCAAAAGCCCTTCACAATGTCTTCCACATAGTAGGGATGAAAGTAACCAACAGACTCGCAAGGTTTTAACCATGAGCCGGGACAGTCAAGCACATGCAGTTTCTCCTAAAGCTCCCTAAGTAAATTTTGCCTTTGAATCACCAAGAACAAATTCATTCCCCATTTAAGTCTGGCTTCTGGAGCTATTAACAAAATGAGAAGAGACAGCAATTACAGAAAATGAAGTGCATAATGACATATTCACATCAGAGATGAAGTCACGTGGCTCGTCTGTCTGTGTGGGCCCTTTCAATTACGCTTTTAAGAGCCAGGCCCAGGCATTTCAGCATCAGCCTTTCTTTCTTTCTTTCTTTCCTTATTGCTGTTGTTATTATATTTTTTTCTTAAATAAAGAATTGGCTTGCAAGCGAGAATCTTGAGGTGGTGTGTTTTTTTCTTGGTCTCTGATCTAGAATTCAGCAGGACTGTGGAGCAGAAGTGAAGACTTCACAGCCTGAAGAACCAAGTTCGGTCTTGCAACCCTCTTGTGCTGTTTCAGCAGAGGGCGGGCAGGCTTCTCTTCCAAGGATCCAGGGGGCAGCCACTTCCCTGGGCTGCCTTGCCCCCAAGTCCTTCACCCACTTTGGTTGTTCGCATCTTCTAACTGTATCATTAAGACGAGCACTGATAGCAGGGGGATTCAAGCACAAGAGGTACCCCTATCAACAGAAATGTTTCAAAATACTTGGGGTAAACTCTCTGACTACATACATTTTTTTTTTTTTTCTTTTTCCTTACAGACGCTCTTTAAAGAAGAACTGATAATATTCAGCAGCTGGTATCTCCAAATACAGTTCAGCAACTCCGAGAGTTCTGAGACAATACCCCAGAAGGCCTGTGGGGGGCATCTTGGAGCACTACCTTCATTATTTTCATTTAAACCATATTCATATTTCATTATATTATTACATATATAATGTAATAAGTGGTGTATCTACTTTTGCTTACTCATGAATGAATTCTTCATTGGGTCTCTATAAAAACACTGGTTTCTTTCTAACTTTTCTGCTGTGTAATTATTTTGGGTGATAGGTGGTTCACAGAAGTGTCCCCCCCCCCCACAAAGTATTGTTAAAAGAACTGATGGGGATTATGTGAACATGTGTGTAAAGAAAGGTATATTTAAAGACACTCATGTGTACATAAAACATGCACGTAAGGTTGGCAGAACATTAGAAAGCAAAGACGTCATTTAAAAATATTTTCTTAAATACATGGACTATTTCAGAGATGGAAACCACAAACACTTACCCTTCTTGTGGAGCAAATCTATGTGCTGTAGAAACATCTTGCTGTGGATCCAGTTGGCTCTGGGAATCAGCTTAACAGTATTTCTTTACAGTATGATTCCCGGGCGTCTGCCTAGCTGTGTCTATTTTAGTTTAACTCCTTAATTATATTTTAGTTTAATTAGAGGAATTAAACTAAACTTCTGTGTAATGAAGGAACAAAGTATCCAGCCATTGGCTCGGGTCTTACCATTCATTTCCACAGAGAAGGCCCACCTGTTTCATGAGAGACACCTGTTTGGATTTGGGCTCTGTGAACCAGAAGGTGACAATGAGATAGCTCCAGGAACGGACAGAGCAGAAAACCTGAGGTCAGACAAGCCAAAGCTGAACTGCAACAGGCACTTTCTACCTGTGTGACTCTGGGTGAGTCACTTCACCTTTCTGAACCTGTTTCCTCATCTGTAGAATTGGTAACATCTGCCTCAAAGAGTTGTTGGAGAGTATCTGAAGGGCTTGGCATAGTTCTTGGAACGTTCTCTTATCTATCCACCAAACATTTATTGCATAATACCGTGTGCCAGGCCTGCTGTTAGGAGCTGGGAATTCAAGGATGAGCAAGCCACAGACCTGTTCTCTGATACAGCATAGAGGGGACCAGTGCACACACATTCAGCAAATACAAACAAATACCAGAGTGAATACTTGGGAGTCATTGAGGAAGTGCTGATGAATCACTGCTCTTTGGTACCTTCAGACATGAAGTTTGGGTTTGGGGGCTGGCAGAGAAGAACCAGGATAACTCACTCCATGTTTTACTCACAGCTTCATCTCTAGGGCTACTATCTCTTTGCAAACTTATTTTACTATAAACCAAATGAAAACCAGCAGACAGAGCATCACCGGCTGGTCCAGGCTGACCCGAAGCCCTCCTCCCCTTTCCAGCCAAACATCGCAGTGCTTGACGGAGCAAAGTTCCCTGATGAGCCGCCACAGGATGCGCTGGTAAAGCTTGTTGTTGTGTTTCTCCCGCGAGAACTCCTCCTGGTTCGCCGCCTGGGTGGTGTTGATGCAGCTGGTGACAAACACCTCCTTGGTCACGTTGGCCTCTGAGCAGCCGTCATAGTAGATTTCATCAGGGAACTGCCAATAGTTGACCTCATAGTACCTATTGCCCTCTGCTCCGAAGTCAATATTGAGCTTTCGGCCATGCCTGATGAAGGCTCCCGGGCGAGTCTCGGTGACTTGGGCCTCGGTGACATGGGCGGTGCTTGGCAAGGCCTTGCGGTTCCACTTGATTCTATGCTTTATGCCTCTTGCGGAGACCACAGAGAGATGGCCTACGAATAAGACAAAGGCAATGGCCAACCACCTTGCTCCCAGATGCTTCCTCATTGTGTGGGAATCTGCAATAGAAAAGGCTGATGCAATCAGTTTCCCACGTGGGACACCAGTCTTCCCTCCCCTCATTCATTGACAGTTTTCCTAAGACATCACCCAGTTGCCATCCTGTGGATAGAAGTGGGTGTCAGTGTAGAACTGTGCTCCACAGGGTTTTCAGTGGCTGTTTTTGGAAGTAGATCACCAGACTTTTCTTCTGAGGTACCTCTGGGTAGCCTTCAACCTTCAACCTTCAACCTTCAACCTTTAACCTTTTGATTAGCAGCCAAGCATGTTAACCATTTGCATCACCTTATCCCCAAAACATAATAGTTTTCCCATGCTTGGGCTGCACAAGGTTAACTCAGACACCAGGTATCTTTTGCCTGGAATCACATCCATGCAGGACAGTAATTCTGGTTTTCTCAGGCAGATAAGAAGCTGTAACTAGCAATTATAAATGCCTTTGAATATGCATAGGAAAATAAACGAGTAATGACTTCATATCTACAGGTTCCCTTGGTACTCCTACGGCCTTCAAATCAAGGGGTCCCGGGAAGAAAGCACAGTAGAATAGTTGAATCAGAGGCTTCTGGGTGTAGATTTTTTTTTTTTTAATTTAAATTTCTTTCCTTTTATTCAAGTCTTCTTTTAAGTCTTTTGCTAATTTTTTTTTTAAACCTTTTAAATGAAGTAATAATATGCACACAGAACTAATCACAAATGTGCAGCTCTATGAAGTGTTCACACTGGATTGTGTTTTTGATCTTCTCTCTTTATTTAAGATTATGGCTCTAAACTGGCCTTGTCTCAGGCAAGTTCTGCTTTGCATTAGCTGATCCTAATGGGCTTTATGATAATAGAGGGGAAGGAGGTAGGGGGGAGGGAGGGAGGGAGGGAGGGAGGGAAGGAGAGCGTGAGTGAGTGCAACCGTGATGGTTAGTGGACTCCTGCCTTCCCCAGGTTATGTCAAGATGTGCTGTAGGTATCCTTTCCAATCTCAACCCCAGGAACATTGCCCCTGCCAATCCCCTACAGCTTTTTAATGAGCACTTTCTATAGGTCAGCCATTGCATTAAGTCCCTCCCTGACACTGCCTAATTTAGTTCTCACAGGGGTTGTTGGTACATCGATATAACCATTTTGTAAGTTAAAGTTGTGCTAGGATTCAGAGAACTTAGGTAACTTGCCCAGGGCTGTGCAACAGTGGGTGGTAGATTTGAAGCCAGCTCTGACAGATGTGGTCCCCACTCCCTGTCCCCTGGGCCTCCGATGCCCATCTGGCCTTGAGGAGGGCATGGTGCTTACATTTTGTGTTTTTGACTCACTGAGTATGAAGGGCAGACCCTATGGCCCCTGAGCAGGGCAGGGTCCATGAGGCATTTCAGAGGAAATGAGATAAAGGGAGGACAGGCGGACCTGGGGAGCACTAACCCCGCCCCCCGCCCCTGGCCTCCTTTGTTTTTCACATCTGGCTTCTGAAACCACAATAGCTATTAGAGAAACCCACCTCTCAGGGTCAAGTGTCCAGGGCATTTCAGCACCTGGACCTTTGTCCCATGGATCTGGGAAACAGGAAGGGTTACTATAGTGGAGTGTGCTTAGGCTGTATTCTTGATAAAACTTGACTGTGAGTCCATGGAACGCTCATGCTGGAAGGAAGCTTAGAAGCCAGCTTGCTTAGCCCCCAACACCCTCACCAGCATCCTTCTACAGCACGCCTGCAGGTACTTAGCACGTCTCTGTTCACATTTTCAACTACAGTGTGGCATTGCTTGTCATGTAGACAAAAGGTAAAATACAGCCTCGCTCCATGTCTTGTCTTCACTGAAAGCATGGAAGGAGGCTTCCTCTGATCCTTTGCTTGCAAATTGCCTGGTCTCTGTCCCAGAGACTAGCCTCCCACCCCTTAATCACACTAAGCTCACACTGGCTTTCTCCAAAGAGATCCAAGTGTGCAGCAAGCATTCATTAATCTCCTAAATAGGGGGCCACACCCCATGTCATCAGCCCACATCTCTGGGTAGAAGAAATCTTAAATAAGAATAATAACATGAGGAGGGAAATTTTCTGACTAGTTAAGAGTCATGCGTTGATTTGGGTGAAGGGAAAGGCAATATAACAAAAGTGTGTGACCAACACAATAACAATAGGGAAAAGGAAGACACAGAAATATGCAAAAAAAGAAGAAGAAGAAGAAGAAGAAGAAGAAGAACATCATAGTTCATTATGGGCTAGTCACATAAAAAATAAATAAATAAAATAATAGCAGAGATCTTGGAAAGAAATCAGTTTTCACACTCAAGGATGTAAAAGCAAAACAAAATCCCTGGCAGCCAACCATAAACCAGCATTTGACTGTAGCACCAAAATCTAGAAACGCACTAGGTCACTGATGCCTATACGTTCTCACAGGTTTTCTCTGATTTGGTCCCTATCTGAAAAAGTGAGAGTCAAGAAATCACTGCACAGTTTGCTGTATAAGGTGGAGTCCTGGCTGGAAGCAAACAACTCTAACCTCAGAAAGGGAATCTGCGTAAGAACTTTGCCTCTCCACTTACCTGGGCTTGCTCCTGGGAGTCTGCCTCTGGAAGCGCAGGCTGGCACTGTCCTCCAGCAAAGCCTCCTGTCGGCCAGGGCCTGCACAGCTATATAGGAGCTGCAGGGGGAGGTGGCATTCCTGCTGCTCTCCAAATATGGCCAGTCTCCCCTCCCTGGCAGGACCAATCAGAGGTTCCTGGACTGTTCTTTTGTCCAAGAAGGATGGACCTTCTCATTATTCTTTCTAATAAAGATCACGTGAAGATCTTGAAAAAATTCAGAAAGGCTTGAGAGGTAAATTTTAGAATTGGCATTAGAAGTGATGGAAGGAAATTCTCTCTCATGAATATCTACAACAGAGTGACTTAAATAAATCCTGTTGGATATGCATACTGTCCTGCACCCACTGACCAGCTCCAGACAGCAAAGGGGCTTTTGCCTGGCAGCCTCTGTGAGAAAGGTCACCTAGGGAAGAGGCCGTGTCTGGCAGCAGAGACCTACAGGGAGTGAGGGGCATACTTCCACTGAATAGGTGGAAAAGCAGGACTACTGTTGGTGGGAAGACAAAGGAGAGGACCTCTCAGAAGGTATGGCCACTGGGGCCATGTGGGAACGCTTGAAGGACTGAATTAGCCCAAAGATCAATTGGTTTAAGAGCTGTAGAAACCCAGGGGGCCAAGATAGATGGTGATGAAACCAACATGCTCAAAGACAGTGGGACTGAGAGGGGCTCCTCATAGTGTCTGTCCCTCTACAGGAGGCCTGAGCACTGTGGGGAGTGCAGCTGAAGCATCATTCCTGAGAGTTTTCATGGCCTGAGGGATTCCATGTGTTTTTTGGGTGACCATCTTCAGCCTCACAGGGATCTAACTGATATAGGTGTCCCCGTTACCATCATTATTAAAAAGCAAAAGCAAAAGCAAATTCTGGAAGTAGTTACAGGGTGAGATTTTTCTGTGGAAAAGAAAAGAAAAAAAAAAAGATTGTTATCTTCACCCTAAATACTACCCCATCTAGGTTCACCACAGATTTGTTTGAGGCCCCTTTTGCAAACCAAATTGAGTATTTGATTCTGAGATGACCAGCAGATGGTGCCAGAAGAGCTTATTAAGACTTTTTTTCAACCCCATCCGCTGTGGGAAGCCAGGTAGCTCTCTTTGTCCCAGGAGAGCTTTCCCACTCTGGATTTAGGGTCTTCATTTGGGCCTTCATTTCTCCTATGCCTTTATTTTTAAAGTTTATTTCATCTATTTCATTTTTATTTTTATTTTTTTGGTAATGTTTCATTTTTTTTCCCCTAGAATCACAAACTTTTGTGCTTGTTGAACACACATACCCACATATCAGTAATGTAAACTTATTTGTAGACACGTTGCAAAATGCAGAAAAGAACTCCCAATATTTCACTATCCAGAGGCAAGAGTCAGTACAATTTTGTTCATTATATAGATGCTTGGGGTCATAATCAGGATTGAGGATGTTTATAGCTGGAGAGGACATAGAATTCTTAGTCCAGCTCCTTCAAACCACGAGGTCACAGGACCCAGATAGGCCCAAGGTCACCGAGCCAGCTGAGCAGAGCAGCCTCTGTGGGTCCACTGCCCCGTTCAGAATGCTGTGTACTGGTTCACACGGCCTCTCCCCATCCTCACGGCCCTCCACCCCTCTTCTCTTTATTCTCTTTCTGAGCAGTGCTCTGCTCAGTGGGAGGTGGGAGGTTGGTTTAGAGCTGATGAGATTGCAGATTCCTCTTGTCAGTGAACAAAAGGCTGTTCTCAAAGGCACAGAAGAGTGTGGAAGATGGTGAAAATGTGTTAGAGACCAGCAGAGTTCTGGAAGTTGCAAATGAGGCAAGAAAACTGTTAACCAGATGGGAGGGAGCAGACCTGCTCCAAGCCTTCCTGGCCTCGGCGCCCCACCTGTAAAGACCAACAAACACCCAAGGAATAAATGAGAGAACGTTGGGTTTGCCACAGCAGCTGAGAGGCCAGGGCACAGTGAATTATACTTTCTGGTACTGATGATTACATTAGGAGTATAATTGTATGTAGTTCATCTTCGAGCTTCACAGAGAATGAAATTGATGCCACAGGTTCTGAGCTCCATGATGCAATGGACAATGATGACATATTCCTGTCAAATGTATGAACAATCAAATACTGTGTGGGTTTTCAGAAAAAAGCAACAAGGAAAGGCTGAGTTCTGGGATGCATGAATGGGGCATTATTGTAGCACTTCTAACTTTGCTTAGATCTTGGAGCAGTTTAAGAGCATTTATAAATAAATACAGGGATTGTTAGGGTGAAACATATCATGCCAATGTAACTGTAAGCTAAAAGGTTAGTGTGTTGGAAGATCATCTACCATATCTTTGATTCTTGAAAATTCACCAAGTGTCTGTTAGGTGCTTGGAACCATCACCTTCCTTCCATCAAGGAAGGAGGAGCAGAGAAGGGATTAGCCAGGTTCCATCG